CTTCCAACAAATATGTTTACACTGTTAACTTTATTGTTAAAGGGGGGTCATATGAAGGTTAGCTACCATTCAACCCCGTATTAAAATAACTCCTTATTATGGAAATCTGAATTAAGAAAGTTTTACTGTCTGTACACCTAATACATAAACTTTTGAATTCTAACAGAAATATATATCCTGCATATTTTATAGTCATATTGAAGTATATCTAGACTAAAAATAGTACATTAAATAGGTACCTTTAGTGAAATTGACATAATTATGGCTATATAGAAAATAATTAAAATCAAGGGACACACACATGAGTGTACTGATAAAATTTCTGAAACCACCAAAACAGAATGATAAAAAAATGACACTTCTGGAGATGTTAGAAAATGTAATACTGTTATCTGCGATTTCATGTTGCTGCAGTCATTTTTCTATGACTTTCATTTCTTAAGCACACAATGATTATAATAAAAAGTAATTATAAGGTATTACAGAACACACAGAAAATGAGAAGACCAGAATACATTTATGAAACATGTAAAATATTTCCGTAGTGTCTAAGAAGGCAAAGGAAACTTCACATTATCCTCTTTTACTTTCTGAGGATAGAAGCAATTTCACGCGAGGATGACTGACCTACTTAAAAAATGTTTTATATATAAGAGTTTCATCAGAATTTTAAATCGTCACTTGAAATACCAGTCATCATTTATACACTCAATGCTGACTAATATTTGCACGCAGACTATATGCCAGGTCCTAACACATACTTGAATTGTCACAGGAACTTTTGAGAGGTTAAAAATAATACAGTTTTCATATTACTATGTCTGCATTTTGTATCTCTCAGAAGTATATAAAATTCTATTATTTTGGAAGGACTGATTTTTTAAAAGAGGGCACTTAAAATCAATTAATACACTCTTCCTTACCCAACATGCTCAAATAATTAGTAATCAGTGTGAACCAGAAACAACTAAATAGCATAAAGAAGCAAGATACCTCTGATTCTGAAATTCCAACCATGGGCTTTTCTGGTCTTTAGTGATAAAACGAAAATATTCACACCATGGAGGCCTTAGCAACTGAACGAAAGGGTTTGGAATGAAAGTTACTGAAACTGACTATGCATAAATGGTCATTAGTGGGAAGATGAACATGTGAAAGTATTTTTTATCTGACAAATTAAAACAGAAAAATGATTTTATTGGGGGCAAGAAAAAAATATAAGAAATAGCTATTTCAATTTTTTTCAGTCATTCATCTCACACCCATATTCTTCATTTGAGTTTGATGGGAACTATACAAATTAATGACAAGAAAAACCCCCCACAAATTTATCAAGTTCAGTGCCAATTAAGATCAGTGTGTCAGATCATTTACATTCATGTACATTAGCGACTGTAATTATGACCTGAGTTACTCAGATATGACTAAATTACTGCTAAGACAGGAGAACATGGACAAAGTGTTTTAGAAAGGAGCTAATAAAAGAGTTAAAATAGATGTTTGAGTTTAACAAGTTCATTTACAGTCTTAATTCCTCACCATTTAAAAAATAATTATAGTTTTTACAGTAAAAAGTTTACAGTTTGTATTTAAATAGGAAAAGGACAAATCTAATGTTAGGGGTTTTTTAAAGCCATCATCAGACTTGAGAGGGTCAGGGTATCTTCCATGGTCACCTTCCATATGTACTACATCCAGGCCTACTCTGGACATTTCATTCAGCCATGTGCCCATGATCATGTTCAGCTGGGATTCATCTGTGGTCATTCAGTTAGTTAAAAGGTATTGGCTGAGCTCCTCCTTTGTGCCAGAGGCAAGGGGTGGCTCTGAGGATAAGAAAGCACGGCCCCTGCTAACACAGGGAATTGGAATATTACGCGCTCCATGCCGTGATAGGGGAAGCAGAAAGCATTCAGAGAGACCTGTCAGCAGCCATACGGCTCTCCCGAGGAAGGCGTATTAGGCTGACGTCTGAAGGTAGCTAGGAGAAGGGTTTGAGTTGTGTTTTGCTTTTCTGGGGGAAGAGGGGACGAGCACAACCTTGAGGCCAAAGGAGAACAGCAATCAGAAGGCAGCTGGGCAGAGTCAGGAGACTTCAGGGCACATTTATGACCATGGGTGGTGAGTCTGGGAGAGACGCGTGGGGCAGGACCTTATAAGAACAGCCTGAGGGCACTGTGATTTGTCAGGGTAAAACTTTCTCGGGGGGTTGAAGTTTGGGGCACACGTCTGTCATAAACTGGGTAAGAAATGAGTCCCCAGGAGACTGATTCTTTGCTTAGTACATGGTAATCACTGATTTCCTCAGATAGAGCCTTTTAATAAAGACACTTCTTCGTATCAATTTTCCTCCAAAGAGAACTGTAGTATTCTGTGAAAGCCAAATTATGAAAACATTTGCTTTTGAATTCAAACAATTCTAAAATTCTGGAAAGCCTGAGAGCTTCTGGCCAAGCCAAATAAAAGTTAAGGAGAAAGAACCCCGAATTCTCAAACAGTTCAGATGGGATAAAGAGGTCATTGTGGAAACTGACTCTTCCCTCATCTAAATAACTTTTTCTCTTGCTTTTTAGAAGTCATGTCTATTGGAAACGAGGCGCTCCTTGAGTTGCACCCAGAGGTCTACTGACGTCCTTCTTGGCTTAGTGCCTTTTGGCACCGCTGCCTCACCGATGGGACAGCCATGTCACTGGCTTCTCCCTCAGCCACATGTGAACCTGAACTTGGATGAAGAACTGCATTTTTCCCACGTTGCTCCTGGACAACTGATGAGCCAGCATTTCACAAGTTACAGCTTTTGTTTTGGTTTAGTTCCTTGGGACGCTGTCACCAAAGATGGTATGTTTAAAAAAAACATATGAAGTGTTTTCTCAAAAATTCCCTCATTAGTTTCACAACCCTATGAGGTAGAGAAAGCAACAATTATCTCCCTTTATCTCCAAAATCAGTCTTCATGATATCTAGTTAATGAAGGTGAACATTTTTCCGTATAGGTATTGGTCATTAGTATTTCTTCCTTTGTGAGTTGCTAGTGGTTTCTACAGAGGTCATGTGACACTCTTGTTAAAAGCCACCATAAGACTTGAGAGGGTTGGGTATCTTCTAAGGTCACCTTCGGTTCTGAAGTACTACATCCAGGCCTACACCTGCCCTAGACATTTCACTAACCCACGTGCCCTTGGTCCCCACAGGGTGCTATGTTTCCAGGTATCTCCTTTCTTATAATGTTTAGCAAAGGTAGATAATGGTGTTTTGCTTAGGGTACTGCTACCAAGATTCTTCTGATCACTAAGCTGTAACCAAGCCCAAGATGAGTTTAGTATTTTTTTTTATTACTACGAAGGGCTAGGGTAGTCAAATGGCTTACAATAGTTTTAATAGCTATGGTCATTAATCAAAGGGAAATAGTTAAAAAATTTTTAAAAGAATCAACTAAACCATTTCCATGGGAAAAAATATTACACCAAAGAAGAGTTCAACATCACCCCAGTGTTCGGACACTTAGGTTGTCCTGGGAACAACAAGCTGATGTCCCTGCTGGGCAGTCCAGCACTGACCGAGGGCAGCTGATATTCACGAGAACCCACTTGGGGGTTTAGGAAGGACAGGCTATTTGCTGTCACAGATTCTCCAAGCTTTATCTCTAAATCAAACAAAACCCAGAACAAACTTCTTGGCCACCTTCCCCACCCAGAGTCATATGCAGAATATCTTTGCAATGTCTAAAGATCAAAGGGTTATCAACATGATTGCCCACCATCGCATTGCTGATACCACTTGTTTCAAAAACATTAGCAAATTTCCTTTAGAGTCGGGGTTAAGGAGAAAATTATCTCTTCTAATATACTTGGCTTTTATTACATATTGAAAACTGTGTAATTCATTGAGAATTCTCTGCTTATCTTGGCTGCTAGGGAGCTCATGATGTCTAGGACTTTTTTCCTTTCCTTTTAATACTCTGTTTTTGCCTTCGATTGCATATTAATAGTTGTAAGTCTTGCTGTATACTACGATTTAAAAACAAGCTACTTCAGGTCCCTTTTATAATAGCTGAGGTTTACCTGGTGTTTATTTGCGAACATCAAACCAAGAACTGCCAAGTAAACAGAACAGTAATCAGTTCACTGCATCCCTGAGGCTGGGGAGCGATTAGAATAAACAGTAATTACCAATTCTGAGTTTGCAACCCTCCCAGGTGTTCCTAATTATATCAATGGAGTAATATATAAATTTCCCAAAAAGGAAAAACAAAAGTTTTTGAGAGGGTTGCCAAATCAAATAATTGAAGGAAATAAAAATCCAAACTCTTAAGGAAAAGAGAGAATTGCCAAGCCAATTTGCTTGCTTCTTTTCCATTCTGGGTTCATGAGAGGAGAACACTGAAGAAGAGGGAAGTGATATAATCACCAACCACACGTAAGATAAATCTAGGAAACAACCTCTGCTTTCTACTTCATGAATCTGTATAAAGAAGACACACAAAATGAATTCGTTCGTATTTCCAATAGCAGAATGGGATACAAAGGCGGGAGCTTCTTGATATCACACACATCCCAAAGGGCTCCCACATTCATTCACTAAATGATGATGGGGGAATCCTGTGGTGCTACAGAGCCACATGCTTGCAGGGACATAAGATTTAGTTCCCCACCTTGTCCTAAAGAGCTGCCATGGTGGGACCTAGCTGCAGAGGGTGGGTGTGTGTTCCTGGCCCTTGTGTGGTACTCACATCAAGCTCGGCCGGTGCCACTGAGTGGTCCGGTTGTTGTGGTTGACATAGTAAGTCCGGCCTAAGTTGTCCACTTTTTCTTCCCAGCCAGGAGGCAGGGGTGGGGGTGGGAGCTCCTCCTGGCGCTGGGAAGACGAGTCATTCGAGTCAACAACTTCCCATCCGTGCTGTGGAGTAAAATCAAACGGGAGATCAGGAGGCTGGTCCTTCAGATGCGGGGAAGAGCCAATCACGGTGCTGCCTGTGACTTCTTCCTGACTGCCGCACGTGGGCTTGTGCAGTAACTGCAGGCGCCATGTTTGGAGAAGTTTCCAAAGAGGGGCAAAGAAATCAATTCTAGAGGAGTCTTAAAAATATGTTCAGCCACGGCCAGCTAACTATGCTGCCTTCTAAGATGACTGTGTCCTAGGGGACAACAGAGTTGGGTACGTACAGTGTGTTATGTGATTTAAGTCACATTATATTCTTTGCATAGTTCATGTTTGTTATTTTGACCTGAGGGCCTCCAGGGCTGTACAAAACCACGGCAATGACACGGGTCATGTTATAGCTGTCGTCTTTTCAACACCTCCCTAAGGTAAAAGGGAGCTGGGAAGATAAGCCACACTGTATGTATGTTCTAACAGAACTCACAGCACGAGTGACCAGGAGGCCCCGGGCTCTATCGCTCCCCAGGGTGGGTGGCATTGAGGCTGGCTTTGGAGGTGAGGTTCCCACTCGGGATCTAGGACAGCATGGCAGCCAGAGGAAGCCGGGAAGCGGCAGCTTTCTACTTAGAAACTCCCCACTTGGTACCGCCACATAAACAGGCTTCATGGTACCCGAGTTAGAATTACATTTTGCAACACATATTTTAGGCATTAAGTATTCCTTCCTAACATCCCCCAGTAAAGTCACTGGAAAATTAAGTAATTCACTGGTTACTGCAGTTGGAAGGCTAGAAGAGTGAAAAAAATTCCTTGGATTTGAGATAAAAATCTGTTGATGTGCTTATGAACTCTTAACATTCACGACAGTCTACCACCCACTTCTCTCCTCCCCACACAGAGAGAGATGAAAGCTCACACATGAAATACTGCCTGGAAATATGACCTGCCGGTATGAGGGAGGTTTGATTAACTTGCCCATAACGCATTATTCACGTATCACGTAGATGCGACAGCTGCAAACAGATGTGCAAGTAAGCCATGGAGGGGCCTTGTTTAACGGACATTTTCAGAACAAGATGAGAATCTGACAAAACAGTGCTGTCTGAAGGGCGTGCTGAGAAGGTACAACAGGCCTCACGGTATGGGTATGTGACTAGAAAGTTAAAAGGCAGCTATGCCAGGAGGGAAAATAAAATAAAATTCCTCTGGACAGCTCATTCCAAAATGGATTTCTAGAGGCAAGCTTTCCTAATGCATGCTATCACCTGTGGGCCAAATGAGTAAGAAACCTGGAAAAGATTTTCTGAATCATTTTATCTCCTTTGAAGCAGTTCCAAGTGCTAAAAGGAATTTACAAAGAGCCGAGAATCCAAAGCAATAAGACAATTAAATATGTGAGAATTTCACATAGGGGCGGGGCTATTAATAAAATATGGGTCTAGCATTTTATAAAGGGAAGCCCCTTCAATTACTAGTGTTGTAACATAAAATGAAAAGTCCAACTTTTTACTAAAAACAAACACATTGGTGGATTATCAAACATAGATTCATGGGCAGTTTTAAGGTTTTTTTTTCCATATTTAAGCTTTAGAAACTTTTATTTACTTGAATTCTAAAGTCTTATGGTAAAATATTAATATGACCTCAGGCAGGGAAGAGAGGCGAAGGCCTGAAGCTCTGACGCTTACCTCCATGTCATCCCTCTGTTCACTGTTTTCTTCGTCTTGACCTCCATTTTTCGGCATATAGGCCATTTTCAATCGCAAAAATCCCTTAACTCGAGATTTATGACTGTGTGACGGAAGAAAATCAGTTATAAAGGAAAAGACTTGGTTACAGCTTTCATATACATGATGACTTTTGAAAACGATGAAACAGAAAAAGAAATGGCATCTTCCTCAGAGAAAACCAATAACCAAGGTGTAAAAAGGACGCCTGCCCCCGAGGGCTCACCTTCTCGGTCTGAGGAGAAAATCCTTAAATGTGTAGGGTCGCTCCATGGTTGGGTCTTCTGTCTACAGGAAGAAAAAGCGGGTTTTAATACACTTGACAGTGTGTACCTGAGATACACCCACCTGGATTACAGAGAATACATTTTCATATATTAGAATGTGGGAATGGTGCGCAGTTGGCGCCTCACCCAGTACTTGACAATTAAACATTTGATAGGTCAACAGAACTTTATCTACTCAAGATCCACTAGATGTCACTATCAACATCAGAGTTTAGGAGCCAACCCCAGTCTTAGACAAATGACAAAATTATAGTGGTCATTGCCAAGAGTCATTTCTAACTGCAGGGTGGAGGCCTCAATCTCGCACACTGATTAACGTCAGTGAACCAGTGGTCACTGATGCCTTCTTGTCTCTTTGAATCAAGACACCTAAAAATGGAGTTAACAGGAAAACATGCAAGATCCAGTCTGTGAAGGCAATTTTACTTTATTTTTTAACATTACAGTATCGTGTCCTCAGTCTAAGAAAGAGTATCTCCTCCATAGAGATAGTCCTAGGTGGCACCATCCATCAGCCTTTGCTTGTTGTTTATTAAATGAAGCTATGAATGCAACGGTCACATTTATCCGTTTTTAAAAGAAATCAAAAGACTGCAAAATCAGTTGGTCAAAGCAAGCAGGAAATTAAAAAAAATTGTTACTATTTTGTTAATTTTTAAATACTATAGGTAGTAAAACTTCAAATACGTACACTCTTAATAAAACACAATTTAAAATATTTACTTTTGTAACAAGAAAGACAAACCACACAACGATAATTTTTTATGCCATAAGGGTGTGTGTACGCATTTATATTTGAAATGTTATCTGTTTATGTCATTCTCTGCTTTAAATTCCCGGTGGCTTCCTACCTTGATTAGAATAAACTGAAAATTCTGTCCTATGGCTTCTAAGGTCAAACAGGATCTGGTTGTTAATTACCTGTAACCTCACCGGGTACCAGTATTTCCGTCCATGCCTCAGTCCAGCTGTCCTGGTCTCCTGTCCACACATTACATCTAATCCTGCCCTAGCAGGTCCTTCTGCTGGACAGCTCTGGCTCCAGAGGCCACGGCTGCTTCTATATTTCCACCCAGTTCTGAGGGCCCAGGTCACATCTTAAGACATTGCATCCTAAATTGCCACCATTCGCCTCTCCTTCTCACCCTCTATCACAGCAGCTTGATTTCTCTTCCTCCTTTTGGCTATCTGACATTATGCTGTTCATTTATTTATTTACTAGCTTATTACTTATCACTTCGAGAATGTAAGCTCAGGGGATTCGATACCTGCGCCTGCTCACCTTTGTACCTTTGGTGCTAAGAACACTGTCTGGAACAAAGTAGGCACCTGTACAGTAGCTGCTTAATTCATCTGATCTACAGTAAACTACCTGAAAATTCACCATCACTGAAGAAAGTCCATTATCTTCTCTAGACTGTTCTCACTGAGGCAGTCAGGTTAGACATTTTGGAAATATTTTCTTTAAAAAATATTTAAATAATCACTTATGATGGAAAATATATTAATCAAGAAGAGTATCGCTGGTACTTCTTGCTTTTTTCATTTATTTAACCAACAAATAATTTTAGAAAATACCTCTGTGAAAGACATGTGGATACAACATGGTACAGGCACATTTCGTTTTATCATACTTCGCTTTCTTGTGCTTCACAGATGTTTTTTCTTTCCTTTTTTTTTTTTTAACAAACTGAAGGCAAGACCCTCCACCAGCAAAAAGACTACAATTCACTTTACTGTGGTACTCGCGTTATTGCAGTGGAACTGAATCCTCAGTCTCTCCAACGTGTGCCTGTACCTTCCCTTAGGGTTACAGCTATGGAGGACGGGCCATCATGTCAACAAATAACTTGACTCTAAGGCAGAACAAATTCACGGACATGTGGAGGTCACACTCAGACTCGGGATGGAGGAAGAGATTGATTCTGACCTGGGGATCAAAATGGTTTTCGGGTGTGTGGTACAATCCGAGATGCATGGGAAAGTTTTGAGAGGTGGAGAACTGGGAGGAAGGGTAGTTGAAGCGGAGGAAATCAGCAGGGTGAGCAAAGCTATGGGGTCCTTGGCAGGCAGGGACGAGGAAGTGAGGAGCAGCAGAGAGTGCAAGGGAGAAGGGAACAGAGAAAACCATATTTCTCAAGGGGACTCTGAAAATGAAACTGTCCATACACTACATAGTTTAAAGGCAAACGCCACACAGACCAAGAGGCCGATCTCCTAGGGCTGTGTCCTGGCTTCGTTATTTACAGAGCCACATGGGCAAGGCCAAGTTCCTTGCCTCTCTGTCCTCACTATAAAGTGGGGCAGTCACAGGATCCTACTCACAGAGTAAGTGTGAAGAGTCAATCAATCAATCGATTGAGCTGATATATACAACGTCCTCACGAGGGTTCCTGGCACATTTAAAACACGTTGACATTATCATCAGCCTGTTCTACATTTGCATGTCACTTGTGACTACTGCAATAAAAGGCAGGGCATTATAACAAAGAAATTCACCTCCACAGAAATTCTCTAGTGACCTGGTGGGTAACTACAGGCTCCTTCGTGGCCTGATCCAGGTTCCTACATGATCAGATTCCCTGGAGAAAAGCCCAGTGGCGACCCCTAGGGCAGCACTGAGAGCGCTCCTGGTAGAAGGCCATCTCAAACAGAATGATGCTAACAGTATTATTGGCGAAAATCGATGCTGCTGCCTCCTGTCCCAGGACATGAGGGCTTAAAGAAAATCTTGTGGCTACACAGCACTTTCATCTTAAAAAGATTAGATGCATTCAGCAGAACTCCAGTCACGGTGATATATTGTGAGATAAACAGCTTTGTGAACAGATGGAAGGAAACGGCCTTACCAGGACCCTGGACTCAGAACCTGGATGCACCACCCCAAAGCACACAAGCCTTATGCTAAGCATCCCGTCGTCCCTGGCCCGTGGCTACATCACACATCGATGCTGGAGACCCAGGGTCTGGTCCAGCACTGCATGAACCTGCTGATCCCTGGGCAAGTCGCCTCCCTCTCTGGGCCCAGGTGTCCTCACCTGTAAAATACAGTGTGTGGATCAATGGTCCCTAAAGTCCCTCTAACTTCTATGACACTGAACCCCATATGTGTGAGAGGGAGCTGTACCCTGCTACCAGCTGTGGACCCTCATCTGAGTTACCTTCAGGTACAGTTAAGACGCCTAACCATACCACTACTCTGAAAATGCCTCCCTCTAGGAAAACGAAAATCCAAAAGTTACCTAGGGTTGTCTGGAGTGGCACTTGACTAAAACGGGAGAAAGTCATGTCTTAAAAATAGCTCTCTACCCCCCTGCCCCTCCCTCCACTCCCAACCAGCGCATTTCCCATGGATACAGAGATTTTTGTAACTGGTATATGTAGGTGTGCTCAGGGCTCAGAGGGCAGAGGAGCCACAGCTGACAAAGGAAGAGGCGAGAGAAATGACAGAGGAGCAATAGGCCAACACCTGTCAGAAACGTCATTCTGTTGTTAATGCAGGTTTTGGAGTTATTTTTGTCTCTACATAATTGGGTAATACAAGTCATAAATACTGTTACGAACTTTTAGGCAATGACACACTGAATTTAATAATCATGTAAAAATTGTATTTTTTTAAAAAATCAACAATAATAGTATAGTTACAGCTAAATGTACTCTTGATGCCCAATTGTACAAGAAAAAAGAGAGCTGTATTTCAGCTGTAGGACAGACGTCAGGTTGGTTGGGTAGCAACTTCCTAAATGACAGTCTCTCCACTCCTCCATGTGCTTTCAGCACATCTTGACGCCCGAGTCTCCCAGGTAACACGAATAGCATCAGAGGTAACACGAATGGCATCACTCTGCTCAGTGAACGCGGTGGAAGAGCTAAGATGCTGACACACAGCTGGATGGAAACTTGGTGGCACCTATGCGAATGCCCCCAGTTCACAGGTCAGAACACAGAGGCCTAGAGTGCAATACTAACTTATTAAATTAGCAAGGCAACTCGCCCATCTCCCAGATTGGGGTCAACAATGCCTGAGAGATCTTGTAAAGTATGACCAGTGGAGACAGTCTGTGACGATGAACTGATGTTTCATTCTTGGACCTGCGTAAAAGGTCAGATTAGCAACCTTATTTACTCTCCGATTCCCTCTTCTTCTTTCACTCACTCAAAAATAAATAAAATGGAAAAGAAATATTCAAGCTGAGTGGAAAATGTGGAACAGGAGCAAAGGAAACAGAGGTCTCCACCATTCTAGACTTCTTGGATCTCATTTCCTATTCATTTCTTGTCCCTCCAGGAAAACAAACAAACAACAAACAAAAACAACCTGGGAGAACTGAGCCCAAGGGCCATGAATGAAGGTGAATCACAATTTTAAATTATTTTCTTTCATCTAGAAACATATGGTAAATATAAAGTACTAAGGAATCCATGATCAAAGTGGGAGAAAGAAATTTCCTTTTTTTCTTTTTATCACTCTTACTCTTTCCTGTTTAGGGGACAATGACAGGGTTGACCCTGGCCTCCTCTGGCCCACGTGGTCGATAACTGAGGTAGGCAGTGACCAGCAGACAGCGTGCATGCCACCCTCACAATCCTCCCTGCCTATCTCTCCGCTGAAGGCAGCCTCCTTTGCTTGTCTCCCTGGAAGAGCTCCAACCTGGACTTCCACAAGGGCCCACAAGGCCCAGCAGGGCACGTAATTAATCCAGGGACCCAACAACGGGCAGTGGGCCAAGGAGGACCTGCGTGTGCCAGGTTCGAGATGCCAAAGTGCTTGTAACTTCGAGTGTGTGTCCACGGAAGCGTCAGCTCCTAAATCAGCCCCTGAGAGGTGAGGTCACGGTGACCCTCTCGTCTTCCTAGTAGGCTTCTTGGGGTCAGGGAATTTATGGCTGCCAATAAGAGACAGCTTAGGAGAACCATTCCTAAGAATGCAAAAGCAAGGTTTTACATTGCAAACACTGGCAGCTGCACCAATCCGTCTCTAGGATTTCAGCAAGGGAAGAAGGTTCTTCAGCAAACATCATTGCTAGGTTTAAAAGATTTCCTTTGAAAACCGTACCCTCAAAAAACAAAAAGTGGGATATTTAAATTATTGACAATAACTTTCTAGCAATCACAAGCTATTATACCAAGTTTAGTTCTGCTGTCTTGAATCTTCTCCATCAAGTTCCTGATTTAGAAAGGAGTTTCATTCAAATGCTGGCAACCTCTTAGACCAAATCAAGGCAGAGATTATAATATATATATTTTTAGACAGAACAAAGGTTCATGGTATCTTGGGTCAACAAGAGAAAGCCTCATTCTGGGCTGAAAATGCCTTATGATAAGTAAATGCATATATATGTCAACATGGAGGTGTTGGTGATTAAAGTATTTTGCTAATACTGATTTTAAAAATTAAAAGTACAGATTTTAATAATAATCAAAAGTTACTACTATTTATCTTAATTTCTATGATTCCAAGTTTAAGGGCCATATGAACTAAATTAAATATTCTTGCTATATTAGATATGTAGAACTAGAGAGAAACAGCCTCAGGTAGGGGGGAAAAGTCAGATGAAATATCACCGAGTAAAACTGGTGGGTTTGGGAATTGCCCCACCCCAACCCCCTCCCACAACCAAAATTATCTGCGGAAAAGGAAATCTAGCACCATACGTGTCTGACCCAAGCCAGGGAACTCGGGTCTGATCCTCACATGTACCATCCCATATGGTACCCATTTGACATATGCGGCTTTTTAAATTTAAACTAATGAAAGTGAAATACAATTATAAATTCAGTTTCTCAGTCCCATTAGCCAGATTTCAAATGGTCAGCTCCCACATGGGGCTACGCATTGGGTGGTGCCACTAAGTTGCCTAAGGCAGGAATTTGCGTCACTGATCAGATTCATGCCCATCAGCAAATGTCTGCTGAAGGAATAAATTCTCTGTTAGCCAATGAGGCTGCATAAAATTGATTAACGATCAAACACCCAGTCAGATTTCTTGTCTCGAGAAGGCCTGGGTGGGCTGGCGATGGCAACTTTACCACCACATTACTAGCCCCCATGGTCTTCTCTTATTACTAAAGAGACAACTTTCCTAATTTCTTCTATCTAAAATTTGATGATTTTGACAAATACTGAGTCCATGGGCCGTATATGATCTGCCTTGACAATGGTCATGTAGCTATCAAGAAAAGAGTATCCATTATCTACTCCACACAACGCATTCACATGCTAACGTCCATTTTACATACCCACGCTTATGATATCATGCAAACTATAATGGCACTGCAATTTTCCCCATCAGAGTCCTACAAATGTGCTCAAAGACACACACAAGAGCGCTTCAAATCCCAGGACCCAAAGGCCACGTCCATTCAGAAGATGATAGGTGGGTTCTATCACCACCTCCAGGATAAAGAATGTACCTTCACCCTTCTGCTTTCTTTGGGGTCCATCTCCCGGACTGCAGTTGGCTACACAAAGCCAGCCAGTTTCAAGTGTGGAGATCATGGCCCTCCAATGTAAGCTCATCTTTCAGTAGAAAATAAAAAATGGGAGGAGATTCCATGACTCAACTGGCTCATCTAGTGCAGAAGTTCTCCATTCTATCTAGGTATTCGCTGTTCTACTCTCTTTCATGGGCTGGTTTCTGTTCTAGCCTGGAACTGTTGTACCACATTCTTCTTTGAATGCTCACTCTCGCCTCCATCCAAATCCAAAGCTGAACCATTCCTTCTGCCGCGTGGGTCTCTGAAGAGGAACATTCTTCTACGCCCTTAGAATCCCACCCAACCTTTCAAAACCAATCCGCACTCACTCAAAGAAGGGATTGTTGGAGCAGGTGGGTTAGAAATATTACTTCCGCCTCTTAGAGAATGTTAGTGCATATTTGCTTTGACTGAGATATGGTTTTTATGTGAGGGACAAGGGTGTGGGGATACCCACGATGAAGAAGTGGCCAACCAACCAATACTGTCTAAAAATGTGAGGCTATTACAGCTTCAACCTGAAGAACATAAACAGAAAACCTGCTGATGGAGAGAGAGATACGTGAAGAGTTTTTCCTCACAAATGTTGAGATCGCCATATCCTCTCAACGTGACTTTAAAAGAACCATCAGGTTTCTGATGGCTTACAGAACTGGTCTCACGCACACGCATGCACCCACCCACTGTAGGCATCTGGGAGCTTCAGGTTTTTTATACAGAAACAAAATATTCTAATGATATCACTGTTGTTTCCCATCTTTTGGAAGGGAATGTACTTGAAACCTTTCTTCCTTAACAGCCCCCCTGAGTAAATAAGAATAAATTGCTTGCTATCACATTCCTTCACAACCTATCTCCAAAGCTTCCTGGTTAAGAAACAGTGTTTCTTGGTATTTAACGTACGGTAATAGGCACCATTTCAACGCGGTGGTAGGCTTACATAAGCTGGTTTAAGTCATTGTTACTTTACAGACTATTTAAGGTATTTGCTCATACAAAGCATTAACAAAACAACAACAACAACAACAAAAAATGCTCTTGGAAGGCAGAAACATTTGTAATTCCCTCATAGCTGCTATTTATGTCACTTTGTGTTGCCCAGGGGACAAGGGCCAGAGGAGAGGCATGGAACAATTTGGAAAACCAAAGCTGGAATACAAAGTGATCTACGTTTCACCAAAGCCTCCAGGTCTTGTCCCCACATTCTATCTATAGTCCCTCAGGGGTACGTGGGTGACACCTCTAACCTCAGTTACGAGTCAATAGCTCAAAATGTTTTACTAGGGCCGGCCAAGTGGCTCAGTTGGTTAAGAGCTCGCTCAGGAGTGCAAGCTCTGAGCAATAGCGGGTCGAGTCCCAGCCTGAGCTGAGCTGCTGCTGAGCTGCTGAGCTGCCAACAGGTGGCAGGATGGCTCAGCTAAAAAAAAAATAATTTTACTACTCATCTGAGCAGAGAGAAATGGTAGCAACACCACAAAGGCTAACTCAGTATAATTCCTGAAGCTAGGGTGGGTGGTTCCAGGTGACAAGTTCACTTAGAACCAACAGCATCTTTTCTTTCGTTGGTGCTGACTGAGAAAGCCATATGGCAAAATCTGGGAAACACTAGCTTGTATAGATGGAGCCCACCAAAAAACGGCATGTGCAATTCTACACAAAGGCAACAAATGTTTGATTAGACCCAAGGGGTGAATTTAAAAGCAAAATCATGTCGATGACAAGGGAGGGTTTTTGATAGAAGGAGGGAGCTGCTTTGCATGAGGTGACAAAGGAAGGCCAGCTAAAGCACAGAAGAGACGGGAGCTGGTGATGTTGACAAGCATACTTGGGTGATTCAGGTACACTTGCTTTTGACAATTAAGCTAGCTCCTATCCCCTGGAAAGGACCACTTTCTAGAAAAGAACTAGGGCCAGAGAACATGCTCGCTATTTCAGCCTTCTCCACTGTGTTGAGGATATATTAATCTGAAAACACATGTAGCCACAAACATTAGAAACCGCTGCTCACAGCGTGCAACAGAACACAGGTAACCGTCCTTACCGGGAGATGACTAAGGGGCACGTCGACCTGTCCCAGGAAGTCGTCTCGTGTCTGTTGGGAAGAGAGAGAAGGGTTAATGTTTCCATCTATTTCACTGAGCATCAGCATTCTTAAAAATGTTTCTTTACAAACAGAGGCAAAGGTCCAGGGCCTGACACTGGAGTGCAGTGGGGATGGGGCCAAGGCACACGGGCCAGATGAGACACAGACAGCTGTTTCCTCGGAGACCGGTGAGCCCAAGGCCTCGCATGCCTGACCTTTAGCTGCCCGAGACTCTGTTGAGCATCCACTACCCAACAGACGGCGGTAACGGGATACCTCCTGGACCTGGGGAGCATATGATTCGGGACCACAGAGGAATTGAGGGCACAACTGGCCTAAAGAGAAGCTGGTACAGACCAGTTGGGATCATTTTAAAGAATATTTATTGATCAAATGCTATAAACTAAAGAACTCCCTAAGAGCTGAGAGTCTGGGGAAAGAGCATAGAGTCTAATTATTAATAAACCTTGGAAATTACTTATTGTTAAAAAAAAAAAGTGGCATCAAACTTTTAATCTAGCCAGTACATTCTTTCAGAATCCAGGTTCGTGGATTAGTTACTGGTTAATTTTTGGACACACCATGCGCCTCCCTCCCTCCATCTACAACACAGCATGCGTCTTTCTGACTTAAAAGAGACCCAGATGAAATTCATTTGGAGGAGCTTACGCGTCCCCTTTCAGACTCTGGAAGACACCTGGGATGTCATGGCTCAGATTCCGGGGTCACTGGCTTGGGCCACAGGGTATCTGAGAGGTCATGTTTACACTATATCCTGCTGTTTAGAGGGCCTGTGTCAGAGCCCCTGATGTTTATACGACCTGAGGTGCACACAATGACTTCTGTTACCCTCATAAAAAAACACGCAGTTGTATCTGCCACATTTGAAAATGCCTAAAAGCTGGAAAGCTCTTTAGAAGTGCTCAGACCTGTCCCACAGCTAGCTTGAGGAAAAGCCCAAAAGGGAATCCAGATCAGATTACCACGGAATTTTCTCATTTACAGAAACCGCTTTTCAAATATACTTGAAAAACTTCTCTTCCTGCATTTAAAAAGCAGCAGCAGGTAAATATGAATGAGATTTAGTGAAATGATTTGCTCCAGGCTGGCTTAGGATTTCCTTTTCGGTAATTTTCAAAATGTAATTAACTAGAAAGCTATCCGTCTCCTCTAAAGGACGCATGAAGGATAATGAAAAATCCAAGTTACCACGAGTCGGGGGTGCGTGAGGCATGAGACGAGCCCCAATCCTTATGAAGAGCGTCTCATTTCTTTTGTTTTCTCAGCTTTATCTGCTACCACCCACCATGGAGATATCTCATCTCCATGAAAAGCAGTCAGCAAGGCCCAGAAAAGGAAGACACCTTTGCTGTCCAGGAGTCAGGCAGCATTCCTGCCCCCAATTTGGCAATTTAGTTAACTATCAGTTATCTCTACAATAAAAAAAAAATAAGACTAGAAAAACAGAAGTGTGTTGATTAGTGACCATAAATTGTGTTGTCTCCCTAACTGTCATTTGTCCCCCTCTCCCTTCCTGCTACTGGTGCTGATGCTGTGAAAGAAAAGGACACGAGATGCAACCATCAGAAGGAAAAGACCATCTTATTCGAAGCTCTCTGTATAACCTGATTACCTCTGAAAGGCTACTCATCCATTGTTAATTAACCTCAGGGCACTGTAACAGAAATTCACGGAACACCTACACACCCGTGCTGTTTTGCTGGGGGATGTTAGAGTTCTAAACTGATCAAACAAGTTCAGTTTTTCCCAGACACGCCAAGACAGGCCCTGCCACGAAGGGCTACAGCAACGAAGTGGGCACTGTGCCAAGGCCACGCCGAACCCTCAAACCCCTAGGAGGTCAGCACCCTTATTGGGCCCATTTTATAGGTGGGGAACCTAGGGACCAGGGAGGTGTGCAACCTGCTCCGGGTTCCTATCTGGGCAGGCTGGTGGTTCCAGAGTCTGGGCTCTTCACTCAGTCGCCCTCTGTCCTGTGTCTCAGTAGCCGGCAGGGAACCACGGCCGTGCACCAGCTTTGGACATCTCACTAGAAGTCAGGCTCTAAGCGGTGTGGCTGACATAGGACTCTGATGAGAGCACCATTTTCTGACACTCTGGGGGTGGGGGCAGTTCTGTTAAAATGTCCATCTGCGATGTTATTTTAACACTATCTCCTTTCCTCAAATGAAACGGTTTACTGAATCCCTGAGGCACTGACTAGAAAGCTAAGTGGCTTCGCTTGCACCTGAACGAGTCTTCTCTTTACATTTAAAAACCAATTTCTAAAACAGCCGAACATGGAGCAACCTCACCATGAAAAGAAACACAAGGCTCTTATTTCTGGTTTACACCAAGGATGACTGAAACAAAATGATTTTCTAAATAAAATAGGGAGCAAGTGCAGAACAGCACATGGGCAAGAGGAACTGGCTTAAACAAGTGTTCTGTCAGCCACTGGAAGGTATTGGTGACATCTATGGGGTTGTCGGGAAAGTCATAACACATTTTTGCAACAAAAAACATAGAAAAAAATACGTCATGACTTTTTCGGCAACCCACTAGGTTTAAAAACAACCCACTATTGTCAAAACTATAGAAATTTCCGGCAATATAAAATATTTAGATTAATGATGCTATCCTAATTGTAAGATGTCTTCAATACCATAAAGGAGTCTCCTACTGCATCAGAGGGCCTACTAATGACCTTTATGCCTAGATGAGAGGCAGGAGTGTCTCAAGGACCCCTAGGTCTGATGGTCTCAGAAGTTAGCAATGCTGGTACTGGTAGGATCCCTACCTGTGGGCCCTGGAACAACAAGGTTTCGGGCCATCACAATATCCTAGGTCATCACTGCCACAGGACGACCTCTTATGCCAATGTTATAAAAAATACACTAATCAAATCAATTTTTCATAATTTCCATTACAAAATGATTTCCATCAAGCATCATGTCAACTGTAAGAGGCTTCACAAACCAAACAAGTTTCAACACATACAGTGAATACTGGCATTTCCTGTGCTTGTTTCTATGTGGTAAATGCTGTCAAGTTCAACCGCAATTACCTGTCACATTATTTTAGAGGCTGAAAATGTACAGGTTAGTGCCAATTAGAAATGCTTTCCTTTTGACAAGCCATCAAACATTTTCCCACTGTAATGACAATGCATAACAGAGCCCCTGAAATGTGTCATATAAGGTAAAAACAAAAACAAACAAATCATATTCCACTATAGGAAAAGTGAAATTACTATACCAAACACCATCTCTCTTACAGCTTTCTCTCTAAATGATGATTAACTACATCCAGGAATGCTCATCTCTGCTTTAAAAATAACTATTCCCTTTTGAAGAAGAAGGAAGGGGACAAGTATGTGCCATCGCCATGGAGGTATGCTGAGCTATGTGTGAATGCCACTGGAGCTCAATGCCTGGGGACGATTACAACAGCGCCAGTGAAACCCTATGATGGACCTGGGGCATTTCCCAGGGCTTTCTGAGTGCATGCTGGGCTGGACCTGCCAACACTGAAGTGGACACCCGGCTCGGTTATCCTCACAAAATAAATAAGACTGAATTTCTCAAAGAACACATCCATGCAAAAAACAACACAGGCGACTTTTGATCTCTAGGTCAGAACTGCACTCCAAGGATGTGACCTGAGTCCTACCCCACACTGATGACCATAGAGGCCCTGGTGAGAGCGAGGTTAGGACTATGCATTTCACATCGAAGCTGAAAGGGAGAGCAGAGGGGCTATGTGGGGAGAAAAGCACTGGAAGCAAGTGGGGGTGCTTGCAGGGAAGGCTGGGGCCATACAGGCTCATTGAGAAAGGTACGAGTGTATCAAAAAGGATTGGCGACTCTTGCAAGGCAAATCCACACTTAATACTGGAGCTGTATATTAATGCAATATTTTTTAAACTGAGATGCAACTTCACTAGTAGTTCACAAGAAACTTTTTAAAAAATAAAATATAATGGAATAGAAAATATTATTGCCTCACGTGAAATATTTATTGAGTGAGTACTGCTTCAAGAAACATTTCAGTTATGTACATATACAAACGTGTGTACTATGCTGTGATCTAAAATAAATTTCTTTTTATGTGTCACCATCAAAAGTTTAAAAGCAGGACTGGCCGAGTGGCTCGTTGGTTAAGAGTTGGCTTGGGAGCGCGAGCTCTGAGCAGCAGGGCCCCTGGTTCGAATCCCACATGGGCTAGTGACACGGCCCTCTA